GGACCCTCTGCAGGGGTGACTGGAGCCGCTACCATGCCGTCCGGCCCCCCAACAACGGGCGACGGTGTGTTGACAACCCCACTGAGGAGGAGTACCTCTCCCAGCTGCAGGAGGCCAAGGAGTACTAGCCGCAGCCACGCTCAGAGGAGCCACGGCCCCCGCCGGCTCCTGCCCCCTGGCCCAGCCTGGCGAAGCCCCGGCACTGCTCATGGGTTCCTCGCTGGCACCGGGCAGAGCTGGGAGGATGTGCCATCCGTCTCTTCCCCTCAGAGAAGTGCCTGGGCCCCCCTTGGAGTTCCGAGGGTGCCGGAGGTTACCGCGGTGCGATACCTGCCATGCCACCCGGGGCGGTCCTGCACCGTGGGGTGCCCCGGCTGGAACATGGGGAGCCACCAGGGATGGGAAGCATAAAGGGAACGGGGTGGGGGGTGCTGCTCCCGCCTGCTTTTGTTGTCTATGGTCTTTCAATGCAACCTTGAAAGCTGAGGGTCTGCGGGGTAAAACGGCCTCAGGTCCTGCTGGCTTCACGCCGGGGCTGCCTGCTCTTGCCTGTATGCCTGCCCTGGAACATGCTGGTCTTCTTCTGACACTGGGGGTGGTCCTCCTGAGCGGGGCAGGGCTGTCCCAGCCATGCCTATAGAGCGGGGCCTGCCCTCTCCTCTGGTTTTCGCGTGCGCAGTTGGGAAGGAGGAGGGAGAGGCTTTAGCAGGGTTTCATGGCTCCGGGGGGTGTGTGGGGCCGGAGGAGACTGGCCCCCTGGGCTCCCCTGGCAAGACTGCCTTGCCACTGCGGTTTTGGCTGTGAAAGGCTGTGCCAAAGCCAGATACAGGTGGACCTCAGAGGAGGTCAGCATGGTGGGGACACCACCTGTGTGCATTTCAGCCCCTCTGCCTCAGTGCTTGAGGGAACAGGGTGGCAGAACCCATGCAAGTCCTACCACCAGCCCACCTCCATGCCTCAGCTTTCCGGCAGCTCCCCAGCGGGTTTCAGTGCTCGGGAGTACCCATGACACAGCCCAGCAGAAAGTCACGTGTTTCCCACCCACAGCCCTGCCTGGGGCAGGAGGCAGCTCAGCCACCACTTGTGCCATTGCTGGAGAACAGCAACAAGTACTGAGCCAAGTTCTCCATGGGGATGAGAACTCGTCAGGTGCTGCTGGGTGCACCCAGCATTGCCTCTGTGTGGTCTGCTGCTGGCCTTGGGCTCTGCTCCATCCTGTGTCTGCCCAGGTCCCCAGTGAGAGGCAGCCCAGAATAAGTAAGTTGTGGGCGCAGCCTGTGTTCCTCAGGCTCGCTGTCTGGACGGGCGGGCAAGTGTGTTTCCAAAGGAGTAAGACACACATGTGCTAATAATGTCAACACCTGGTGTCTGCAGATCATGGATCATGATGCTCTCTCTTGGTGCTTTGGTCTTGCCTGGGTTTTACTCAGCTTTTCACAGGTCCGTGGCAGTTTCTCCCAGCATCTTTTGGGAGCTCCCAAGTTTCCTGCAGAAAAACTAGGCTGAGCACCTCTATCCCTGGACATTCAGTCACTGAACCTGGCAGAAACTGTTCATAGCTTTTATTTAGCAAATTTTATGCATCAGAGGAAATAAAAGAGCAAGTCAAGCACACGTAAAGAAGAACAGAGTCATTTCTAGACTAGAGGTTTCACCCAAGGCTGTTGGTTACTCCATGTTTTTCTGCAGGACACTGTTGGACAAAAAAATAACATTTGTCTGGGTGCAGAGGTTCTTGGTTGACTGTCCTGTGGTAGGTCTGTCCTTCTTGCAGGAGCTTTCTCCAGGGCCAGTGAATATCCATGGTCTGAAGCTCTTTGGGGAGGCTTTCTGGGAGTGTCTTGCATATGTTGAATGTATGTTGATCCTTTTGCCTTGGTTACTGATAGAATATTGCATCCTTGGTCATCAGTACCTAAGACTTCATTGCTGGTAAAACAAAAGTATTAATTAAGTTATCACTGAATTATTCTTATTTAACTATTATTCCACACTCATATCCCCAGACTCCAGTTATGGGTGCTATCAAAACATAGGGAGACACTGTCGGTTTCCCAACAGGCATGCAGTCTGAGATGACCAGTATTATGTAAAGGGTAAGAAGGAAGACACAGCCAAATAAGCATGGATGGAGACCCAGACCTGGATAAATTTTCATGTTCCGTAGCCCAAACGGTCATTTGCTCACTAGTTTCTGGTAAAGCGGTAGGTCATAAAGAGGTGGTCAAGAGGGCATGGCAGTGATCTGGTGGCTTGGTTCTGGGAGCTTGGGATGTGTGTGAGGAGGCTCAGTAACAGGCATGGAGGCATTTGTATGGGAAGCAGACAAATTGAGTGGTCATGGAAGGATGAGCTTGTTATCTTCTGTCATTTGGTAGAGCATCTTCATATTTCTTCTGCCATATCATATGTCATCATTAACATCAGCAGATTCTCAGAGGAGCTTATTTACCATCGGTGCACAGAATTCTTTAAAATAACCTCCCATTAAATGTGCCTACTGTCCAGTATTGGACCCATACAGGGAAGCAGGACCTCTGTGAACAGCCTTTTTTTCGAGGAGCCTTTCTATAGCGCAGCCAATTTGTTTGTTAGACTGGCTGCTCTCTGAGGAAGTGTTCTTATAATAAGAACTGTTACCCAGGATTTGCACCCTCTTCCTCTTTTTACTGAGTATGTCAACCGGTCTAACCCCAAAAAAAGAAACTATAATTTCTGTAATAAATGGAGCTCCTGTCCAAGGACAAGTAGAAAAATTTCTTGCACCGAGGTCACCCCCCCGCCCCCCAAAAGCTGTTTGAAAGCCGAGTGGTTGTTCTGCCTCGCTGCCTCTATGGTTTGGACGATACAGGCATGAACTGGAGCGTGAGAAACAAGAAGCAGTGTTGTTCCTCACACAAGCACCTTACACACGGGGAGGCTTTGCGGGGCACCGTGAGAAAAGTAGACGTTAAGCAAGCATTTATTTTTATATCCCATCAAAGATTCTGTCCAGCCCACTGCTATTTAAGTGATGAATTTCTAAGCTTCCACTCAAGTTTATTGTGGTTTTTATATATAATATATATAAAATGTCTTTTATTCCTACAAAATTTAATAGAGAAGAATTCTTTATCCTGATGCTGCAATAAAGCACTTTATATATGTATGCGTTGCTGATGTCATTCAGTTGGGACCGAAATGTATGTTGCTATTTGTTTTGGTTGAGAAGGATGACACTACGTTGAATGCTAAATGTCTTGGGTCCCCAGCCGCAGTTGTACTGCAAAGAACCTGGTGGCTTTGCTTCCTTCACTTAGCATTTGATGTTGTCTGGCTGCAAGAATCACAGCTAACAGAGACGATAAGGAGCCCACTGCCACAGCCATGGGATATGTGAAGTTCTGCTGACAGGGAAGGAAGCCTCCTACGAGAAGACCATCAAGGTCAGTGCTGAGAAGCAAGTGCATTGCCTGTGCCTCAGCCCTGACCGCAGATTTTATTCCATGCTCAGCCCAGCCAGAGCTGGGTGCCAGCTACCAGCACCCTGCTTTAAGCAGGTGTTGGGCACGGGAGTGGGTGTAAAGAAAACCCCAGCATCATCCCAGCTGGAAAAGTGGTCTGGCAAACCACCTCCAGAGCCAACAGCTAATGATAGCAGGGGGATTTGCAAAGCTTTCCAGGGACCACAACTTTTTGTTGCCGTTAACTTGCTGCATAGGTTGTGACCACTTCCAAACTCTTGCTATTTCCAGCTGTTTTCCCTCCTTCTGTCTTCCTCTGTTTGCTTTGTGCTGGCTGCACATCTGTCAAGGGTTATCTGCTGCTCCAGTGTGGGGCTCTGCTCTGCAGCTGCCTGGCGCCATTGCTGGCCCCTGCCTGGGGAAGCAGATGGCTCCTCTCCCTGAAGGATGCTCAGAGCTTCGTGCTGGTCTTCTGCAACATCAAAAACACACTTGCGTGGAGCCCAAGCCAGGGGGAGCAGGCAGGAAAAGCAGCACAGAGAAAAACAGTGTTTCCCTGGAGGGGCAGTCAGCAGTTTTTCTGTGTATATAACATGCCTTTATCATCTGCAACAAGGTCCTTGCTGGGCTGGATGCTGAGCCCTGCCCCCAAACACCTGGGCTATAGAAAACCCCCAGCCAGAGGATGGAAGGAGGAAGAATTGCTGCTCTAATTTTGCAAGTGCTCAAGACCTGGAGCTGTCACCTGAAATCATGGAGTGAGTCTGCAGCAGAGTCTCAAGCTGCACCTTTGCCTGCTGCTTTGAACACAAGACTTCTCAACCAGTTGAGTTGTCTTAGTTTGCCAGCCTGGCCTGGAGCTTCGCGTGGCTCAGCTGTACCAGTTCCCTGGCATCCGACTTGCAGCTGAGCTATTTTGTACACAGACACCGCCGTGCCCAGATTTTGCTAGGCACAAAGGTCAGCGTGTGCTTGTCCCTGCTGACCTGCCCTCTTGGCCCCAGATGGGTTGGGAGCAACCTGTGCAAAGACCTTTTGACTGTGGAGGACACCTTGAAGGCATGGGTGTGTGGCCAGCTGCCTGGCGGACAGGCAGGGTGAGTGCAGCCCGTCCTTCAGGAATGAACGTGCGATTTCGCAGAAACAGGTTTACAGCAACAGAGATCCCATTAGCTGTCTGCTTTCTTTCAGGGCTCCTGCTCCAAGAATCTGCTTCTCGGAAAGCTCACAAAAAGCCCATCTGGGCCCAGAAGGAGCTGCAATGGGAGGAGAAGACAGAAGATGATAATGCCAGGGGAGTTTGGCCAAAGCCTGTGGGGCAGACCTGAACTGCAAGGCCTGGCCTTGGCCTGGGAAAGAGCAAAGTGTGGTTGTGATGGTCGGTGGACCTTGAGTTAAAACTGAGGCTCTGAAGCGGAAAAAACCCCAACCTTTTAGGCACACCCATTTGTGGTGTGTAAAGAGACCCACTCCACTGTATAGCCATGTCAGCCCCCTGGGCTGGGTGTCCTGGCGGCACAGTGTGGCCCACAGATGCCAACGTCTCTGTAAAAGAATGGAAAGCAACAACAAAAAAATCACACTGGCTGCAGTTTTTTGGCAGTAGCCCAACCAACTGCAGCGTGAACACTGGGCGAACAGGCACTTGTGGCAAGACCTGGTCTCCTGGGCTTTGCCTTCTCCCT